TAAGAAAAAAACAGAAATTATTGAAGAATTATTTGAATTCATTTCTTAACAAGTAGCATAACAATGTATTCAGTTCGAAACAACAACCATACATTGAATTACAAATTTCAATCAACAATTTCTTCATATTTTCGGAACCGAGATGGTGAAAACTTTTTCCAGTTTTCAAGCAATACCGGCCCAACGCAGAGGTGATTTTCTGAACTTCGGAATCCTTCAATTTCTTCGTGCTATAGTCTGGAAGACAGAAATTGGCGAAAACGTTCAAGTTTTGTCGGATTACCTGTGATTTTTCTGACTTTTTCAATAGGTTCCAGCTCTGAACGACCAATCGAAATGTTTCGTTTTTTACAAGTCGTAATAACGTGCCTCTTCAGATGACTCCCATCTGACTGTGATATCATCAAGTTACACTGAGTACAGATAACAAAGCCGCTCTCGATGAATTCGTCGTTTTCTTCGTTTCGAATGAGAATCTTTTGAATTTCTGCGAAGCGATATGATTCACCCTGCAATGACAAAATTTATTGCCGGTTTTTCTCTGTTTTTAAACTCACAAATGTGACATTACTATCTTTTTCATTCAGTTTCAATTGAAGGTCTGATTTGGATATCTTGAAACTCATTTTTCGAGTTTGGGAGGGGTGTGAGTGAGATGGCGAGCCGTAGGCTGTCGTTTGCTCTGAAAATAATTATTTTATGAAAAATAGGGATTATCAGGCAATTGGCGACAAAAAAGGAGAAAAATCGGTTGATAAACGCAAAAAATCGTCAAAAAAAAAAACAAAACAAACCCCCGTAAATCGACACGGGCTGCTAAACAATGCGCGCCTCGTCATAACGGAGCATCGTTGCAAATAAAAATAGCGCGCGTTCAAATATTAATTAATTGCCGGCAGGCCGGGCCGGGCCGGGCCCTGGTTTTTTTCCCTCGGGCCGGGCCGGCCCTCGGGCGGGGCCGGCCCAGAGCTTGTGGACCACAAAAATCTCAGGTCGTGCCCTCGGGAGAGGGCGCGACAATCTGGAACTTTTTTGGGATTTTCGGAATTTTTTTGGGGGTTTGATGTAAAAATGCCCAAAAAACTCAAGATTTTAAATATTATATTTTCTATCTTCCAGGCCCGCGCAATGTCTCATCTGGAAGAAATCTCGGAAGAAGGAATCCGTCTGATGTCTTCATCTGGTTCCGTTGCAGTTCTTCTTCCATCAACTGCATTTATCCTTCGTTTGACTCCTCCCCCTGCACGCAAATTGATTGGAAACGGAGTGATTGTTGCATTGGGATCTGATTTCAATCCGAATGCTTACTGTTTTGCAATGCCAATGATTATGCATTTTGGTTTGTGGATTTTTGAAATTTGAAATTTCGATTTTGAAAAAAATACAGTACTAATTGTCAGGGCAAAAAAGTAGATGTTCTGTGAAAAATAGTCGGATTTAGGAGTCCTACAAAAAAGTTTCAGAATTTTTCAAGTTTTTTCTAGCTACCAGAGTTTTTGAGATATGCGCCTTTAAAGTCTAGCTTCGTTACGCCTCTCCTCCTTGCCACTGCTCCTCCTCTGGGTGAGAGAGAGGCGCGCTGACTGTGCTAACTTTAAAGGAGCATAGCTCAAAAACCACAGTAGTCAGAAAAAGTAATCAATTGCAAAATTAAAGATCTATTTTTGCTTAGTATATAATGTAATTTTCAAACGAATCGAAAAATTCTGGAACACTTTTTTAGGACTTCAAAATTGACAATTTTTATTGTGAAAGTTCAAAAATGAATTCTTTTGTCCGGGGTACTGTAGCTCAAGTTAGTTAGAATTTTCAAAAGTCTCCAATTCAGGCAGAAAATCTGAAATCTGAAATTCTGAAAATCTGAAATTTCAGCGTGTGTCACCATGAAACTGTCGATGCCAGAAGCATTGACTGCTGCCACTCTAAACTCCGCCCACTCGATTGGAAGAGGAAAAACCCACGGAGCAATTGCAAAAGGAAGGTGAGCCATCTTATTGGAATTTTTTTAAAAATCGGGATTTTCAGTTTTTTTAGTTTCGAAGTTTTAAAATTTCAATTTTTCCAGAAACGCCGACTTTGTGATTCTCTCTGCCAACTCTTGGGAGCATATCATCTACCGTATCGCTGCTCATGGTGACGTCATTCGCCACGTCATCAAAAATGGAAATGTGGTGGAAGTCTGAGAAGTTAATTGGCCAATTAAATATGCGATGATTTACTCTTTTTGGGATATTGTTTAAAACATTTTTTGTAGTTAAAATGAATAAATTGGTGGCTGGTTATTCCTTTTTTTAATTCTAAAATTCTAAAATTCTAAAATTCTAAAATTCTAAAATTCTAAAATTCTAAAATTCTAAAATTCTAAAATTCTAAAATTCTAAAATTCTAAAATTCTAAAATTCTAAAATTCTAAAATTCTAAAATTCTAAAATTCTAAAATTCTAAAATTCTAAAATTCTAAAATTCTAAAATTCTAAAATTCTAAAATTCTAAAATTCTAAAATTCTAAAATTCTAAAATTCTAAAATTCTAAAATTCTAAAATTCTAAAATTCTAAAATTCTAAAATTCTAAAATTCTAAAATTCTGCACTTTTCTACTTTTTTGTACTTTTAGAGTTCTTTTTCTTCTCACATTACCAATCCTTTTTTCCATTATTCTTCTTCAAAAAAAGAAAAAAGACCGCCCATTTTACCCTATTTTTGCACTTTCTTGGCTCTTTTTACTTGCATTTTTTCTACTTTTTTTGCACAATGTGGTCCACATTTTTTCCCTTTTTTTTCACAAAATTGTTTCTTTTTTTCTCCCAATAAGAAAGAAGAGAACACATTTTTCTCTATTTCGAAACGAGATGTTTCTCTCTTTTTTTGCTCTCCAAGCATTGAAAAAAAAAGAAAAAAGTTTTACGATTTTTCTTAATGGCACCAGATTTCTAGTGGAAATTCGAGAAGAAATTCACATTTTTTTTTTTGAGAGAAATTGGATAATTTGAGAGATCTTTTTTGTGTTTTGATGTTTTTTCTTTTTTTTTTTATTGGCTTGGAAAGTTTGGAATCTAAAAATTGAAAAATCCCTTGGAATTGTAGAATTTTGCAATTTCAGACTCTCAAATTTTCTGCACTTCTGGATTGCCGAATTGTTTCAAAATTACAAGTTTCAATATGAAAAAGAAATTGGGAGAAGTTCTTTTTTCCAAAAAAAGACCAGAAAACAACAAAAAATGAAAGAGTCAGCAATAAATTATAGATGAGAAACGAGTAGTAGTCGGGTTGAGTGGGTTCAGTCTACATGTCAGTTTTTTGAAGGAAAAAATTTGAGTCGAATTTTCAGAATTTGGAAATTCTGAAACGCTGACATTCTGCGATTTCGGAATTTTAAGATTCTGAAAAAAAAATAAAAACTCGAAAAACCGAGAACTCAAAATTCTGAGACTTTAAGATCCTTGAAGTTCAGATGTTCATAAATAAAAAAAAAAGGAATTCTGAGGTTTTTATATTCTTGGAAGTTTCAAAATTCTCAAATTTTTAGACTTGGAAGTTCAAAAACTAAAAATTTTGAATTCTGAAAATCTGGAACTTCAGGATTCTGAGTATCTGGAAATTCTAAAATTCTGAAATTCTGAAATGATGGAATTTCCAAACTAAAAAGATTTCACAATTCCCTGAAGAGAGCGAAAAGTCTCATCTTTTTTTCAATTGTTTTGCTCCATTTCCCCCTTATCATTGATAAATTGATAAAATTTGAAAAATTCTGACTCATCAATTTTTCCCTATTTTTTCTAATTCTCTCTGTTCTCTCTTAACGATCAATTTGTCCTTCTTTTTTTCGCTTTTTTCATTTTCTCAAAAGCCTTTCGTACTCCCTTTTTTCCTTGTTCTTTATGACCCATTCTCTTTTTTCTTCTTCTTTTCTTTGACCCTTATCATTTTTCATTCGGTTCACAGTTTTAGCTGATTAATGGTTTGTCCTACAAACATTTCAAGAAAGCCAAAAATTCAGAAAATATAGAAATTCAGAAGTTCCGAATTTTTGAAATTCAGAATCTCAAATATCTGAATTTCAGTAATTTGGAGTTCCAAAATACTTCTGAAAAGTCTAAGAAATCTAGAAATTTCAAAATTTCAAAACATTATTATATTTTTTTTGAAATTTTTCAAAAAACGGAGCTTCCGGTGGTGTAAAAATAGGATTTTTATCATTGTTTCTTATCTAGTCTTCTACCTTTTTTCCCCCATTAAATCGAGAATAAATAAACAGAGAAAATGAGAGAAAGAAGAAGAAAAAAATGCATAAATATAAATCATCTGGTTTATGTGACTAATTTATTGGCTTCTTTCGTTTTTCTTCAGATTTTCGGATTTTCGGATATTTAGAAATTTATAACATGAATATATGAGAAACCCGGTAATAATCTGAAGATTCAATGAATCTGAACTGTGATTATATTTTAAATCTTTCTGAAATAATGGAAATTCAAAAATCCGGAAAGCCGGAACTCTCCTGAAACTCAAGAAAAATCGATAGGAAAATGTGAGATTACTTTGGGTCAATGTATCTTGGTTACTGTAAAAGATACCAAAAACCTTTTAAGACCAAAAATGTTTGATTTAAAATCAGCAACATTTCATTAGTTGACAATTTTTAGATAACTAAAATAGGAAACGAGATAATTAGGGTCAAAGAGAGGATCTTTTTAAGGAGTCTCGCAGATTTCAAAAGTGAAAATACAATAGTTACTAAAACGTGAGGAAAAATCTTTAAAAAACAAACTTTTAAAATTTATATGATAAAAAGGATACGTAGAAACACACAGTACTTGGTGCCACATTGACCTCTCGAAGAATACTATAAAGGAAGAGAGAATTGGAAGTACAAATCAGTTCTTGCCTTCTCCGGACTCCAGAATAGGGACCCGGGGAAGGCTCCGGGAATCCAGGAATCCGGAATTCCGATGATCCGGGAATCCGGACATCCGGAAATCCGGTGATCCGGGATTCCGGGATTCCGGTGATCCCGAAATCCGGGATTCCGGGATTCCGGTGATCCGGAAATCCGGTGATCCGGTGATCCGGTAATCCCCGGTTATTCGGTGATCCAGGAATCCGGACATCCGGGGATCGGATGTACGGATTTCTGGATTTCCGGATGTCCGGATTTCCGGATTCCCGGATGTCCGGATTTCCGGATCACCGGAATCCCGGATCACCGGATTTCCGGAATCCCGGATCACCGGATTTCAGGATTCCCGAAATCCCGGATCTCCGAATGCCGGATTTCCGGATTCCTGGATGTCCGGGGCCCTCTCCCGTGCCCCTATTCTGGAGCCCGGAGAAAGCGAGAACTGATTTGTCCTTCCAATTCTCTCTTCCTTTATAGTATTATTCAAGAGGTCATAGGACACCAAGGGCCGTGTGTTTCTACGTATCTTTTTTATGATATAATTTTTTAAAGTTTGTTTTTTGAAGATTTTTCCTCACGTTTTAATAACTATCGAATTTTCACTTTTGAAATCTGCGAGACTCCTTAAAAAGATCCTCCCTTTGACCCTAATTAACTCCTATTAGAAATATCTAAAAATTGTCGACTAATGAAATGTTTCTGATATCAAGACAATAATTTCTGCACTTAAAGGTGGGGGGACAGGAGATTTTTCGTAGTTTTTTTGTAGCTAGAGTATGTATTCTACCGTAACGGTGTACAACGCTTAATGTCACTCTGCGTACAGCTGTCGTCCTCGCCTTTATGTATGCAATCGGACGTGCGCTTTCTCTTTGCCCGCGTGGCTCAGTCGGTAGCGGCGCCGCACCCTCAATCATCGCCCTCACAAGTTCAACTCCTCGAGAGGCATCTTTGAACGGAATTTCGAGAACATTATTTTTTTCATGTCCCCCCACCTTTAAAAGTTTTTTTGATTTTTTTTACAAGAACAAAGATACGCTCAAAGACTCGCGTAAATCTCGCATTTTTGGATCGATTCTTCTCAAGTTTCAGGAGAGTTCAGACTTTTCGGATTTTCGCATTTCCATTATTTCAGAAAGATTTGTAAATTTTTTTTTAAATTTAGTCACAATTCAGATTCATTGAAATTCTAGATTATTATCGAGTTTCTCATACATTCACATTCTGAATTTCTAAATTTCCATAAATCCGAAAAACTCAAGAAAAACAAAAGAAGCCAATAAATTAGGCATCTTTTTCTCCTTCTTTCTTTTCATTTTCTCTGTTTATTCACTTTTTTCAGATCCTAAAAATTTCGGATACAAATTTTTTGAAATTATAAGGGAAAGTAGATTTTCAAATTTTTAGAATCTTAAATATTCTATTTTTGCGTTTTCTGAATATTCTCAGCACCTATATTTAACTTCCCCCAAATAAAATTAATGTTTTCTTTGTTCATTCAACTTTTTCCCCAATTTTCCCATTCCCGTCAACTTGAATAAATGTCTCTTTTTCTCTTTCTTTCTCCAATTTTCCCAAAATTTTCGGTTTCCGAAAAACGCAATAATTGTGAATTGAAACGTACATAACAACATGTTGTTTCACACCTCTCCCCTTTCTTTTTTCCCTCTATTTTTCCATACAGTAATTAGCCAATTATCTAGTCACCAGAAACACACCTTAAAGCCAATTAATAATGGAGAATTATTATATTTGAATATGTACATATGCGCGGTTTTTGATGTTTTCAGTAACAGAGAAGTCCAGAAAAATACAGTAATCCAATTGGAAATTTCGAAAATTCCGAAAATTTCGAATTTCTAAAAATTCTAGAAATTTTGAACTTACTTTTTAGAAATTCTAAAATTCTAAAATTCTAAAATTCTAAAATTTTAAAACTCTAAAATTTTAAAATTCTAAAATTCTAAAATTCTAAAATTCTAAAATTCTAAAATTCTAAAATTCTAAAATTCTAAAATTCTAAAATTCTAAAATTCTCAGTTGCCTTTCTTTTTTCCAAAATACAGTTACCTCTCTTCCTCTAATAAATAAATAAATCCCTTTTCCCTTCTTCAGGTGTGGTCTTGTTTGTCACTCTGTAAGTGCCAACTACCGTTTTTCAAGTGTTGTTTCCTTTTTTTCTTTTCCCTCTCTTCTCAATTTGATTCTCTAGATTTTTGTCCATTTATAGTGTATTTTTCAAATTGTTGTCTTTTTTCACACCCAATTTTTTTTTATTTGGATAGGTGCTCGATTCGCTTGAATGGTTTTGGTTTTTTTTGGAGAGAGAGAGAGAGAGAGAGAGAGAGAGAGAGAGAGAGAGAGAAACAATCAATAGTTCTTACTAAAAATAATTGCAGATCGAAGGTTCTAGAAGCTTGAATATTCGACAATCTGGATCTTCTTGTTACAACACAAGTTCATACACCGGAACGCCACCCGGACCGTTTACTCTGAGTCTATATATCTCAATTCTTTTGAAAGAGATCTAAAAGTTGTCAACTAATAAAATGTTTATCATGATATCAGCAACATTTTATTAGTTTACCAATTTTCAATATCTTCCACAGGAATCGAGATAATCGACCTCAAAGTTGATGATTCGTGTCTATTAGAGTGTTTACGGTGTTCTAACTATTCATGTACTTTAAGCTCAGTTATCTCGATTTACGGAAGTGATATCAAAAATTTGTTAACTCATAAAATGTTTATCATCAAATTATCAACATTTGATCAGCTGACAGCTTTTTGATATCTATTACAGTATTCGAGATAATTGAGCTCTAAGTGCAAAAAAAAAACGATATATTGATTACCTAGTGAAGGTTGAAGTTCTGAAAGTTTTTCTCATTTTTCAAAAAAAAAGAGAGAATTGACAGCTATCGGATTTCTCTGTGTGACAGTTAAAAGGGGACATCAATTTCGCGAAAAAAAAGTGCAAAGCCATTATTTTTGATGTTCACTCTTCTCTCTTTTTCATCCGCAAAACTGACAACTGACAACTTTTTTTCTAGGGTTTTTAGTGGTCATTTCAGAGGAAAATTGGGAGATTTTGGAGTTCAAGAGGGTCTTAGGAAGGTTGAGTTCTTATTTGGAAACGATAGAAATTGAAAAAATCATTCAATTTTGTTTTTTTTAATTAACGGGAAGTCGTAATTTCCGAAAAATTGAAATTCGGGAACTCTCTCTTCCATCACAAGTTCACTTCTCTGAGCTGCTTTTTTTTTGTGAAAAAAAGTCCATCCCTTCTAAAAATAAATTTACTAAATCCAGTACTTTTAATCTCCCATGGATAATCCGAAATTCGATTTTTTATGTCATAATAAAATTTTGGCAACATTCTCCTCTCACCCAATTTAATCCCAAAAATGTTGATCCAATAATCCACTCATATTTTTGATGAGAATATCTTCAATATTTTGATTCCATCTACCAGAAATTCAAAATTTTCATATTTTAGAATTTTAGAATTTTAGAATTCCTAAATTTTCAAATAATTTGGAATTGGTTTAAAAATCTCGGATTTTGGAAATTTTCGGATTCAAAACATCTCAAAATTTCGAATTTACAACCCGTCTTTTTTATCCTTTGCCGCCTGTGAATCATTTTTTTTCTCTTCCTCTTCTTTTCTTTCTTCTCCTCCAGATTTCACAAAATTTTCGGAACATGACATCTCGAGCGAGTAGCCGGCCGGGTCCTCCAAGAGGTGTGATTTAGCAACATTTGTTACAAAAAAGAAACATTTGTTCATTGGAAAAGAGAAGAAGAAGAAGAAGAACTTCTGAAGAAGAAGAAGAAAAAAGAAGTTCTCTCGAAAAACTATACAAAGATTCTTGATATCAACACCTGCCCCCTACCCCCTTTTATCTTCATTTTACGATGTTCTTTTTTCATTTTAAACCTACCCGATTCCTCTGAGAAATTACAACTTTCTTCTCACTATCAAATTAACACTTCTTGAAATTTTCTAAGAATTCAAGTTTCTGAGATTCGGCAAATAATTCGGAGGAGGAAGCAATTACTTTCAGCGTGTTAACCATTTTTTTTTCAACTGCGCTCCAATGCTAATTTACTAAAAAAGTTCATTAGGGCGCACTTTCCATAAAAATAGTTTTCTTCAGGAAATGCGCTCCAATGCTAATTCACTGAAAATGTGAGAAGTTTCACCGCAAAATCCACACACAATACTATTATATAAACTTCATTTCGGCTAGAAAAAGAGACACTTTTTGAAAAAAAATGACCCGAAAAAATTCAAAAATTCAAGAAAAGAAGACGTCAAACATGATGA